CCCTGCAACATTAATATCCGAGAAACTCGGATGCAGTACACGGCGAGACGTGGCTCGAGGGCCCCAGGAATATCACGAGTCATCGGGATCGACGGGTCTCGATGAATCGCCTCTGCGATCGAGGAAACCGCGAACTCTCTCTCTCTCTCTCTCTTTTTCGACTCGCGTCTCCGACGCCGCCAATCTCTAATTAATCTCTGGCCGTTGGGCCTGCCGGGCAGAGAGCTTCTTCTGCGGGGAAGTAGGCCGACGGTTTTGCCTCTTCCCGTTTTGCAAAAACCGACGAAAGAATGCCGCGCGTAGAAACGATGACATTTGAACGGCACGTAGGATTCGACGGGTATCTGCAATCCGGCGGTCGATTTAAGGAATTTCTGCACGTAGCGAAACCGTCGTGGCTACCTGTACATGGCCGCGGGTTCGAATCGTTGCAAAACGAGAGGACGGGGTACCCGGGTGCACCTTGCCACGATACGACGAGTAATTTCATGATGAAGAGCAAGGTGTCTCGGCCGCCTACTCCGCAGCCTCCTCTTCTGCTTTCTCCTCTTGGACACGAATTTATTTATTGCCGGGCATGATTAAGTGTCCCGCGACACACCGCGGCATTATCTCGTTACCATTATGGATTCCAGTCGTTTGACACCCAACGCTCGTAAATACGTTCCTAGCTTTGAATATTTTAATCTCGTGGTTTCGGGTGAGAAGCCGGATGTGGCAACAGCATTTCAGTTTCATGGAAATTACCATTTCCATGGTTTACTTAAGCGGGTCTGACGTGATACCCGATTTTATAGACATCGTAATTCTCGATTAAAAATGTTTTTTTAGTGAAATTGATACGCGTTTAAAAAGTGACGTATTCTTACAAAATAACCTTTAATAATCTACAAGGGAATCTTCAGGGAACAAATTCGGCTTGTTTGTGATAAATGGAAAATAAAAATTATGCAGATTCGCAGATTTGAAAAATGGACCCCTAATACGAGGCCCGGTTTGGCTTATTCGGGAAATTTATTTTTGTTCGCAGATTGGGCGTGCGAAACTTGTTTCTCCAGCACCACAGCTTTTGTGGGTCTGTTAGTAACGTTTTTTTATGCGCGTGTACGTCTGAAGAGCACAGACAGTTACACGCAAGTCATTATACTATACCCAGAAATTATTAAACCATAATGTAAAATGATCTGATGTAACTATATGTGTTAGTTCTTGCGTCAAGGTTAGGCCGTCAACGAATTGACTGGTACATAATTCCACGAGGGAATTGCTCGTAAATGCTGCTCTAAGTCAATAAAAAGGAACATCTCCGCTTCGGTAGCTACGTAAAAATCCCGTTCGCTGACCAGATGACAAGACTTTCCAGCGCAGAGTTCACAGGGGAACAAAAATCTCCAGGGCCATTTATCTTCGAAAGAGAAACACGATCGTCGGTTTTCCCAGCAGAAGCGACGACGTCCGCGCCTGTTTCGTAACACCGTGATGTTTACGCGCTTCGATATTCCTGTTATCGAACCGAGCGTAACACAGGAATCATTGGAGACGGGTTTCCTCATTCCTTTAATTACAATCGAACGATTATCTGCGGCGTCGATCGAGAGGCACTGTTACTTTCGACGTTCTAAGCGAAGGCGGGCAGTGGGGTGACGTGACAAAGTCGTGTCAAAATGAGAGAACTTTTGATAGAAATCAGATAGAACGATGCCATCTTTTTACGTTAAGGCTGAAATGTTGCGGAATAAGGGAAAAATAGAGAGAATGTGGTATGAACATTTTCGAACCCTGAAAACGTTGAACTTGAAGCGTTCCAACAAAATTGTGATTTATCCAATATCAATACAATGGAATTTTTCTTAACGACATGTTATATATTATTTCTCGTAGATTTTGGCACGCTGATTTCAAATCCAGTCGCGAAATTTGAGAAAAAGACAGCGAGTTATCATGTCAACGAAAAAAGTCACGGTGTCGTTAAGATTTCTCACTGAAGCCAATTTTGTTCCAAAATCCTGAAGCGGTAGATGAATGCGACCGAATTTGAAATCAGTGTGTCAAAATCTACGAGAAATAATGAATAACACGTCATTAAAAAAATCCAACTGCATACAACATTGGATAAATCACAATTCTGTCGGAATGCTCGAAGCTTAAAATTAATGTTGAAAATCGTTCGCACTAAATTTTCCCAATTTCTCCTTTATTCCACAGCGTTTCGGCTTCGGCGCAAACGAAGTTATCTCATTCCTATCGAAAGCTCCTCGGTCCCGACAGAACTTCGTCACTGGCAGCACTGTGCGACGCGCTGGAAATGGCGAAACGACCGCGACACGCAGAACAGGCTCCGGAAGGATGACTGGCCAGGAGGACCGTCGACGGTGGCAACGCTCGAATCCGCCCGGAAATGGGGCAAACGGGTCCGGGCCGAGGAAAGGAAAGAGGCGAGGGATGACAGCAACATCGGCAGCCACTGTGCCGGCAAGTGGGTCAAGAGTTCATGAGCCGGATAATTAAATTCCACATCGAAGAAAGCGTTTTCCCTCTCGTTTCGCGGCGGCCGTCGCCGCGCGGGCCAGAGAGCCTGGACACCGTCCACGCTGTCATCCGATATTTCTCCGTGATCTACGGCGTGTGGCACGCGATCCATGGATCGTCGGGCCGCGAAGAAAACGAGCCTGGCGCTGCATGATTACTCTCGAAACGATAGGAAGCTTTCCGCGAGGATGATACAACGCCGACCGCGCACTTTTCTTCCTGTTACTCTCCCTCTGGAGAGCAAGGATCAACCGATCTACCGGGTGACCGTCTTTTGTAGCGTGTCGGTTTTCCTATGCGAACGGCTGCGACAAATTTTCATCGCGTCTGGTTGCGTAACGGAGGGGTGGTTACGTAAAATGGGCGCGAAGAAATGTGTGAAATCTTCGACGCCAGCGGCGTTAACGAGCGAGGAAGATTGCTCTGAATTAGTGTGTTCCGGTTAACGAATTTTGCAAAGCTTCTGGGGAAATGCCGGTTCTTTCTACGTCCCGTTCCTCGACGCCTCTTCGACACCAGCACGCGTCATTTTGACACGTTGAATTTATGATTATTGATGTCACCAAGGATAGACGTGTGCGGAGTTCATTCGATTGATTTGTTTCGCTGGACACAAATTACCTGCAATAAAAATCACTGCTAATAATGAATAAGTATATGCTTGTTATTTTTATGAGGCAATATAAAATCGCTGCGTTTAACGCTTTGTAAACAATCAATCAGGCCTCCGCGCGCTAATAAAGATGTTTGACGTGTGTTGCTCTGTTTTGTAGGAATTAGAAGAATGAAGTCGTTCAGAATTCGTCCAAATCAAATACGTTGTACTCTATTGTGCCATGATAAAGAAACTATGTTATATTGATACTCGTCCAATGATAGTACAACTTAACAAACTGTTTAATAAAGGAAACGGAGGATAACAAGATATTGAATGTGTTTATATATATATATATCTTGCTATTTTGAGTATAATATATGTTTGAATTAAGAGATTGATTCGATCACTTTCCACGAAAGATTCTTTGTAACTTCAACAATTTTAAGAGAAACCGTCATGGTAGATTTATTGTTAACCCCTTGCCCTATAATATCGTATTAGAAAATATTCTATCCATGTATCTATCTCATCTTAAACGGAAATCAACTTCTACCCTTCAATTATCAACGTTGCAACATTAAAGCTATAGCCGGTATTCAACAAATATAAATTATCTGCCTCGCACAAGAATTCCTCGTCGACGAGGAAGTGTTAATCAACGTAGCTGTGAAAGTCTTTATAAACTGTTTACCCGATTCACTGATTCCCGGCTATTCAACATAAATTATGATTTTTCGTTATTGTAAAAATTATATATATTATATACATATAATAATATAATAAATATTATTATTATTATATAATTAATATTATATATATATATTATATTATATATACATATAATATATATTATATAATATATACATATATTATTATATGTATATAATATATATAATTTTTATAATAACAAAAAAGCATAACTTGCATATATAAAAAGATAAATCGATTGAATCGAATTAAATTGAATTAAATCAAATTAGATTAAATTAAATTACATTAAATTAAATTGAATCGCAAAGGAGTTAAGTTTGGCAGTCGATGCATAAAGACCTCTCGTTCTATAACTTCATTTCCCTTATCGTGCACCAGTTGAAGTCATAAAAGCATACAGGCATTAATTGGCCGTCGACCCGCGGTGTTGACCGAGGCTTTCGTGAAACGAGATAAAAGCCTCGCGAGTAGACCCGCCAGTAAAGCCGCGAGTTTAGCTCGCATTTCGCTCGCGGAAAGTAGGTTAAACGTTCGAATATACCTAAAACAGCGCGCGTCCCGATGGTCTACTTGTAGCCTTACATGAACGTACCCACGCGCGTATAGAATCTTAACGACGGACATTTTGCCTAGCCGGGTAAGTACTCGTGGCTAGCAACGTCTCCGAAATCGTCGAGCACATGGCGGTCGTCGCCGACACCGGGAATCCCGGAATGATCGATCGTCAAATAGTAAAGAGCCGTCGATCATAAGCTGCTTTCGAACGACCGTTGCGCCACGCGGTTTGCGTTCCTGGGCCAAGATCGAAGGCGACCGCGATCGCGACGGTTCAAAGACGATTTCGTCAAGCCGACGAGGATCCGAGGGATCGAGGGCGCAAAGGAGTCGAGGTCTAGGACGCAAAGCGGGGCCCGCAGGCCGAGAACGTCCGAGAGTAAGCGTTTCGCAACGGGGTCACCAAATTTGGTTGCTCTCTGGTAGGGGGAGGGGAGGGCCCGAGGATGGTCGACGAGGCTCGCAGGAGCGACAGAGAAACCGGGGACAATCGAAAGGATGGCGGAGAGTCGCGGCGAGGAGAGCGGCGGCGGAGGAGGAGGAGAGAATCGTCTCACAGCTGAATTACTCTCACTCGAGAGGCCCCCGTCTCTTCTTCGTGGGGGCCCCATGTATCCCCCTGCTTCTCGCGGGGGTATAAAGGACCCCGGTCTACCTTCCACAGAGTCACAGAACCGAGCGGCATCGCAGAAGCCGACATGAATCCTCTGATCGCGGTAAGCACGCTGAATTCACCTAAGACTTGCCCTAACAACCGTATAGAGCGAAATAGAGAGAGAAAGAGAGAGAGTGTATGTGTGTGTGTATGCGTGTGTGTCTGTGTGTGCGAACAAGTGTACCAAAAGAGACTATCAGTGTCCTCGGTGTACCGAAGCAGCGAGTCAGTGTCCCAAGTCGCGTTTCCAAGCGGAAGTTCACTCCGGATCCTGTCTTTCCTTCGTTTCCCGGGCTTCCTAGTAACTTTCCCTCTCAGCTTTTATTTACCTTCGACCATGCCTCGTTGAGCGTCGTGACTAGTTCCCCAATCCGCCGCGTGCAGCTGTCACGGCTTTCTTTCCGAGTCGGTAATTAACGAAAAATTTCTGTTCCAGTGTATGATCGTCGGCCTGGCAGGGTTCGCCCTGGCTGAACCACCGATCTCTGGTGGCTACAGCTACAGCAGGCCATCCGGAGGCGGTGGAGGCTACTCCTTCGGTGGAGGAGGCGGTGGCGGTGGCGGCGGCGGGTACACCGCCGTCTCCACCGGCTACCAGACCAACGAGGGTGCCTCCGTCGACGGAGCCCTGCTCGAGCAGATCCGGCAGATCCTCCTGAAGGAGGAACTGCAGGCCCAGCAGAGCGGAGGATTCGGTGGCGGCGGTTACGCTCCTAGCTCCAGCTACGGGGCCCCGTCCTCGTCGTACGGCGCGCCGAGCTCCTCGTACGGCGTGCCCAGTTACCAAACCCGCGTGGTAGGCATCGATCTCGAAGGCATCAGGCAGGCCATCCAAGTGGCGCAGTTCAACCAAATCACTCACGGACCTGGAGGCTACCCTAGCGGACCCAGCAGCAGCTATGGTGCACCCAGCAGACCCAGCAGTGGCTACGGCGCGCCGTTCTAAGCGGTCGCCGAAGATGCACAGAGATCGTACGAAGGGAGAGCGAGAGAGCGAGAGAGAGAGAGGGAGAGAATGAGAGGGAGAGAGAGAGAGAGAGCGAGAGAGAGAAGGAGCGAAAACACCTGTCGACCATAGCGACCATCTTTCGAGCCGAAGCCAGAGGTGCCAATCGGAAGAGTCAGGACTACGCGATCAGGATGAAGAGGATGATGCTTGCCGCGTAGGAAGTTCTCCAAAGTGAAGTTCCCGAAAAGCTGCTCGGAAGATCGTCGTGCCAAGGACAGATCGTTGAGATCGTCGTTTCTTCGGGGAAGCTGATCATCGCCACGGGGAGAGCCCCAATACTGATCGAAGGTCGCCGTTCCGACGTGTCAAAGTTCGCTGCTGGAACAGGGGACTTAGGTGGTCCCCGGTCGAGGTGCACGTAGGGGATCAGACCGGCAGAGGATTCCCAGGATCTTGGCTCGTTGAAATCCAATCGTCGTCGCTTCAACGGGCCGCGATCCTCTTTGGAATCGACACGGGCTACGTGCGGAAGGTAAACCGGGCTCCGGGCCGCTCGCTCGTTGGAGATCAAAGGGTCGTCGCTTCAACGGGTCAGGGCTGCGGAGTGAACTTGAACGTCTGGGACGGCAACAAGCTTAAAACGATCGGAGTCGTCGACGAGGTGTCGCGCATGGAACCCCGTCGTAAAATAAATAAAACCCGAGAGAAATATCATTCGTCGTCGCGGTCGTGGCCGCGAGGGATCGAGCAATCCCAGTGATAAACGAGCATCGATCGCGCGCGGACGAGATCCCCGACCAAAACGGGATCGCTCGTCCACACAGTAGATATTTAGAAGATACTCGCGGGAGAACCGTTGAGCCGGAGCCGAAGTCGAAGCCGAAGCCGTGATCGGCGCGTACACCACGCGCCCTGTAAATACAATTTTCTACACGCTTTTCCAACGGCGTCCGCCCCGCGGTTCGTGGGCCCCGTTTCGAGGAGGACAATAATCTTCGCCGGACCTGGCCGACATCGTAACCGGAGGAGCACGAGAATTCGACGGGAAACGGACAAGAACGTAACAACGCCTCGAAGCGTGGCGGCGGCCGCCGACGCTGGAATATACACACGTACACACACGTACAGAGATACACACTATTTTTTTATATGTTCTGAACGCTACTCCTTAACCACGCATCTTTTTTATACTTGTATAAAGGCTTTTTTGTAGAAAAAAATAAAAAAAAACGTCGCCACCGTTGAACCAGCCGTTTCAATCAATCAATCGATCGATCGATCAGCGAGGAAAATGGCGCGACCTAAAACCGAACGAACGAACGAACGAACCGTTCTCCTCCGATCGCGTCACGGTTCACTTCCCTAATTTCTCTTTACGACGATCCTCCTTCCTCCTGATTTATTTGCCGGGGTCCCGGGGTTCCGACCGCGTGACCCCAGCCATCCCCCGGATATTTTTCCGCGCTTCCTTCTTGCCGCGAACAGGCGGAATCTGCTTCTCGTTTTTTGCACGTCGGCCAGCCACCTTTCTCCTTTCACTGCGCGGATCGGAGCCTCGGGCCCACGATCATCTCCGCTGGACGTGACGCAAAGCCTCTTGAGCAGCGTTTAGCGCAAGGTTCGCAAAAGGAGACCAGTGGTCAGAGATTCGAAAGTAACCGGGAATTCTTCGGCTGGCAGGAGCGGAGAGAGAACGGGCGAGTGATTCTGCGCGCCGATCGTCTTGATTCCCCGGGACGATCGTGTCGTATCCTCTCGGCTCCGAAGATTTTTCCGCGAAAGCGGGCATCATCGTCGGCTCGTTGCGCAACGGTGTTCGGCGTTGATCGTTTTCTCGGTCATCCATCCGGTTTATCAGTTCGAAAGCCGCTCGATCCGACGCCTCCGGTGGAAAACGTTTAACCGGCCGGTTAACGAATTATGCCACCGAGCGTTAAGTCGCTTACGCGCGTTTAAATTTTCGTTGGTTGCGCAACCACGCCGCGGCGCACGTAACGGATTCGTTAAGATCCCGCCGGGGCGCCGGGAATTTCCGTTATTAGGAGCATCGCGCGGGGGCGTTGATTAGGCCACGCTTGATTACCATTGTCCCACGGGGCCCCAGCGATTCGTCGGAGATAATGATCGGGTGGTTCAATCGTTCGCCGGTAAAACGATTAAAACGCGGCGGCGGCGGTGCGGCGGGTTGTGAAGTCGGCTCGAAATTCGATTATGGACGGAGATTTCAAGAAGCAATTAGAAAATGAGTAATGAGTCCCAGAATTGGGTAACCGACCGCACAATGCGTCGCTGGTGCAACCGCCGTCGGAGATTGAGCTGGCACCTACGCCTCGGTTAAATTAAATCATTAAGGTGCTCCGCCGCGTTTTACCATTTCGTTGCGTTCCGTTGAGCAAGGACCTTCTCCGAGGAATTTAGGTGGCGGCCATTTGGCAATCGTTCCGGCGAGATGTTAATTAAATTGACGCAACTAACGTTTTTCTGATCATCCAAAGAATGCGGCTTCGAATCGATAAAATCATTACCAAACAAGTGAAAACAATTAAATGAAATTGTATTTGGAATCGGGTACATCGGATACGATATAGCTTCGCTCGAAAGGTAAAAGGCGCGCGATGTTCCAGATATTTTAAAATATTCAGAAAAGCGATAAATTAGCGGGTAAGACGTTGTAACTATGGACGCGATGCGCAAAGGCAGCACACTAAAAACTCAGCCACCTTTCTTGGACGATATAGCGACCTAATTGTCTTAGCCGATTGTACACCTTCCTTTCTCTAGACGTTATTCGATTAAACCTTCGACATCTTCGACAAGAATTGCGAATCTGCTCGTAGAATTCTGCGGACTTAACGGGCACATTTAACGATCCAGCTATCTTCCAGAGTTGAAGCCACTATTCAAAGAACTCGGAGTCTGAGGCGCGTTCACGTGGCAAAAAGAAGGCGCGGCCCTAGGCGCAGGGCTCCCCCGTCCCGACCGAGGATCGGCTTAATTGATTCGGGAAAGCGTTGTTTCTCGGAACACCGAGGAAATCGGTCTATCGACGATTCGCCCATTCTAACGGACTTACGTATGTACGACGTCCAGCGGGGAAAGTGCCGCGACTCCTCGCCAGCAGGGATGGCGGGGCCGAGAAAGGGGAAAGGAGGGAGGAAGAGGAACTGTGAGACTCTCCGTGGAATTTTGTAAGAGCCGTGCATAATCCATAAACGCGCCTGCCAGCCAGCCAGAAGCCGTGCGAACCGAGAAAAACGGGCGCGCACGCAATGGGCGCCGTGCTCCAATTCCTCGGAATGAAATCTATCGAAGGTGCGCATCTGCGGATAATCTATGCGCTCATCCGTTCACGAACAACTCAATCTGCATCCTTTCTAGCCCACAGCCACAGCAATCGCTTCCTTCTAGCCATCAAATTTTATGTAATTGGATTGTAAGTGCAAGAGGATGTCTGTAGTCGAGAAGTTGCTCGGTCGGGATCATTATTTGCTGCCTGATCATTTGCTCGAAAAAACGTCGGAGCTACGTCGGAGCTACGTCTATGCGGATAATTTATACCTGCTCGCGTTAAAGAGCGATCCGTATACTTTCTAATTGGCAAGCATTTCGTTGGAAGTATTAAATTCGATGCATTTTGATCCTCGATGGAAGAGTGTGTCTGCAGACAAAGTTGCTCAGCATCTGCTATCTGATGAAGATACTTCGAAACGTCGAAGCTGCGCATCTGCGGATAATTTGTACCTTCGTGTGTTCAAGAATATCCTGATCTGTGCGTTGTCAAGCCTGCAACTACTTCGGTGTAAGCATAAAATTCAATGAATATTGAACCTAAGTGGAAGAGGATGTTCGCTGCGGTAACTACTCAGTATTATTTTCTATTACCTGATGAAAGCTTCGGTCGGGACCACGCAGGTATACCTTCACGGATAATTCACTTATTCAAGAACAACCTCATCTGCATGTTTTCTAATCCGCAACCACTTTGTTCTCAGCATCGAATCCGATGCATTTTGATCCTACGTGGAAGAGGATGTCCGCAGTAGAAACTACTCGCAATCAGTATTAATGCAGAAGGCTCTCGTGCAACTCGAGTTCCTGCAACATAAATTCTTATTTAAAAAAAAATTATGCGACCACCGTTTTCACGTGACAGAGTTATGCGCACGACGCGCTATAAGATGTTCGAACGAAACTTTTAACAGGGATTACCAAATTGCGGATCTTTATGCAAAATGAATATTCTGTGCATTGATTGAAAAAGAAAACAGCAGAAAATATTTATTCCGGTCTTGAGTAATTTTAATGAGTTTTAAATAATATCATCTAATTGTTGAATTCTCTTCTAATAGCGTCTCTGTTTTATGTTTCATATTTTCTAACGCCGATTAACCCTTTGCACTCGAAACCATTTTAACTGTAAATCTAAAGTAATTTTCCTGAATTATAGTACTTCCGTTTTACGCTTACAAAATTCAATCTCGTGATTAATACAACAGTTACACCTTCAGTAACATTTCAAATCTGAACTTCGATAATGCAAAAATTATCGTAGAATATAATAATTTTAGTGATGCCTCAGAGTCACCACTCGATTGCAAAGGGTTAACACTACAAACGCGCTTCTTAGATTTCATTTAACCGATTGTAACTACGCAACGAAATTGTTGGTTCGTTCCTTCCGTTGTATTAATATGGGGCAAAACGTTTCGCCCGTAAACGACGGCGATATTGTTCGTGTAATGAGAGGAAAGTCGTCGCGCGACACGAATACGTGAAACGCGCACAAATTCTAGTCTGACGTGCTGCTATCTGATCAAGGACTGTGGTCGAAACGCCGAATCAGTGAATTAAAAAACCTGGTCCAAGCCGTCACCATTGTACGAGGATTTCCAGGGAACTTGAGCATAAAATCGTCCGCGACGCGGNGAGGAACTGTGAGACTCTCCGTGGAATTTTGTAAGAGCCGTGCATAATCCATAAACGCGCCTGCCAGCCAGCCAGAAGCCGTGCGAACCGAGAAAAACGGGCGCGCACGCAATGGGCGCCGTGCTCCAATTCCTCGGAATGAAATCTATCGAAGGTGCGCATCTGCGGATAATCTATGCGCTCATCCGTTCACGAACAACTCAATCTGCATCCTTTCTAGCCCACAGCCACAGCAATCGCTTCCTTCTAGCCATCAAATTTTATGTAATTGGATTGTAAGTGCAAGAGGATGTCTGTAGTCGAGAAGTTGCTCGGTCGGGATCATTATTTGCTGCCTGATCATTTGCTCGAAAAAACGTCGGAGCTACGTCGGAGCTACGTCTATGCGGATAATTTATACCTGCTCGCGTTAAAGAGCGATCCGTATACTTTCTAATTGGCAAGCATTTCGTTGGAAGTATTAAATTCGATGCATTTTGATCCTCGATGGAAGAGTGTGTCTGCAGACAAAGTTGCTCAGCATCTGCTATCTGATGAAGATACTTCGAAACGTCGAAGCTGCGCATCTGCGGATAATTTGTACCTTCGTGTGTTCAAGAATATCCTGATCTGTGCGTTGTCAAGCCTGCAACTACTTCGGTGTAAGCATAAAATTCAATGAATATTGAACCTAAGTGGAAGAGGATGTTCGCTGCGGTAACTACTCAGTATTATTTTCTATTACCTGATGAAAGCTTCGGTCGGGACCACGCAGGTATACCTTCACGGATAATTCACTTATTCAAGAACAACCTCATCTGCATGTTTTCTAATCCGCAACCACTTTGTTCTCAGCATCGAATCCGATGCATTTTGATCCTACGTGGAAGAGGATGTCCGCAGTAGAAACTACTCGCAATCAGTATTAATGCAGAAGGCTCTCGTGCAACTCGAGTTCCTGCAACATAAATTCTTATTTAAAAAAAAATTATGCGACCACCGTTTTCACGTGACAGAGTTATGCGCACGACGCGCTATAAGATGTTCGAACGAAACTTTTAACAGGGATTACCAAATTGCGGATCTTTATGCAAAATGAATATTCTGTGCATTGATTGAAAAAGAAAACAGCAGAAAATATTTATTCCGGTCTTGAGTAATTTTAATGAGTTTTAAATAATATCATCTAATTGTTGAATTCTCTTCTAATAGCGTCTCTGTTTTATGTTTCATATTTTCTAACGCCGATTAACCCTTTGCACTCGAAACCATTTTAACTGTAAATCTAAAGTAATTTTCCTGAATTATAGTACTTCCGTTTTACGCTTACAAAATTCAATCTCGTGATTAATACAACAGTTACACCTTCAGTAACATTTCAAATCTGAACTTCGATAATGCAAAAATTATCGTAGAATATAATAATTTTAGTGATGCCTCAGAGTCACCACTCGATTGCAAAGGGTTAACACTACAAACGCGCTTCTTAGATTTCATTTAACCGATTGTAACTACGCAACGAAATTGTTGGTTCGTTCCTTCCGTTGTATTAATATGGGGCAAAACGTTTCGCCCGTAAACGACGGCGATATTGTTCGTGTAATGAGAGGAAAGTCGTCGCGCGACACGAATACGTGAAACGCGCACAAATTCTAGTCTGACGTGCTGCTATCTGATCAAGGACTGTGGTCGAAACGCCGAATCAGTGAATTAAAAAACCTGGTCCAAGCCGTCACCATTGTACGAGGATTTCCAGGGAACTTGAGCATAAAATCGTCCGCGACGCGGACGGGGGGGGGGGGGATTGGAAAAAAGGTTCTCGAGCTTACCATACAATTTCGACGAGCATCTTAAAGGTGGTCGCACGCGTAACCAACGAGGTTGCGCGGCGTTTCGCGACGAACGCCACGGCGATTAGATCGGATCCAGGCTTCGCCGGGCGGAATTGATCGTAATTACTCGCGGTCGATAAGAACAAGACAAAAGAGTAATGGTCCCCATCCCCGCGGGCCTGCGGCGCGGCGGGCTAAAAAAAACGCATAACCGACTTTTTCCACGCGGTGCACGCAATCGGAAGAGGCATCAGCTCCGCCGGTGAAGTCGTTGTCGTGTGAAAGGAGAGAAAAACGCGGGCACGGTGACGCACAATGTGATCCGCTCGGCCAATTATGGGAAGAGGATTTGTCGAGCGAGGCAGACACACAGCCGGCTCGTAAAACCTGCTCGGCTCAACAATGGCCCCCGTTGGCTCCTCGAGAGCCGGCTCCGTACTTTCGCTAATCCCGTTTCCGCGGGCCGCAAGCTTCTGACCGGAATAAACGCCTAACCGTTGCCTAACGTTGCCTTCGTTAACGTGGACGGATGTGTTTTTAACGAACTGCTTAGCCGGGAGCGCGAGAGAGCCGCCCGTCTTCCATAATTATGGGACCGGCCAGCAATTAGAGCCCGGCGTCAATTAGATCGGCGTCTTCCGCGAGCTCTAATCATGAGATACAAGCTCCCGCCGCCACGTGGTTACGTGTCATCCTTTCACGGTTTTCGGCGAGGAAAAAGGAACGCGGGCCCACGTCGGAACGAGGATGCTCCTTCGGTCGTCGAAGAAAGTTCCCGCGGACGTCCTCTTCGCATCTCTTTCTCTAATTATATCTTCGCTATCTTTAACGATCTCTGCGCTGCAAAGTGCGCCGAGGTCTTCGGTTATTTAACGACCGCGCTATCGCTTGACAACGTTGCAACACCAATCCAGCAACTCTTGAAAGCTGCTTGAACTACTTCGACGGTGCACCCGTTATCAGTGGACTGCCGGTGGTTGCGCGACAAAAATCACCGGGCGAAGATGGAGACACCGGAAAAGTAGAAGCGATATTATCGTGGGGGGAAATTGATTCACTCGTAATCATAGCCAACAGACAGTGTGAACCGTGTACTTTCTAAGATCATGCAGTCCTTTATGATTATCCAATTACTCGCTGAATGCATTCAAACGTTTGTACAAGTATTAGAGCCGTAGGAACCGACATGCAAACGAGATTGTTACGGATTTGATTTCGCTGAAAGATTCGCATCGGTAGACCGCGGATCTTTAATTTACCTTCTACAAATTAACTGGTAAATTAGATGCGAACATTTCTCCTCCTTTCAGTAATTATAATGAGTTGAAAATAATGCAATAATATCGTTAAATTCTTCGATGTTTTTATGCGCGTCCTTTCAAGCTTCAGATAAACGCAATACACAAACGCGTAGATCATAATAATATATATAATTATTAATATATATATGTGTAATATAATTATTATATAATATATATATAATACCCCTATATATATTTAGTTAGGATCGAACGGAATTTCGAGAAGGTGTATTATATATATATATAATATATAATACCCCTCGAAATTCCGTCCGACCCTAACTTCTCGAATGGAGCAATCGTTCGAGAGCTCCATGGTGGTTTCGAACCCTTTTACGTGCTTGCGTAACTCGTCCCTGTCCCATAAAAAATTGGAATGTTCTTTCGGGCAGGGTATTAATTGCACGGGGACGAACATCGAGAAGCAAGACAAATGAGAGAGGATAGCTTATGTAACGCGATAAAACTTGCGTGGAACAGTTCGGGGAATGCAGGTCGTCGTTGCAGCTGTGCAAAAAGGGGGAAAAAAAAGGTCCGCGCAGTTTCAAGGGGCCCAGAAATTGTGTAAATCGGACGAGTCGGTTGCACAACCAGGGATTCTACTTGTTCCGATCGTTGCGGTGAAGGAGATCGGCGCGGAGAATGACCGCACCGTTATGATACTCCCGTTTCCATCGATGCTAACAAGCTAATTTCCTGCAAACGCGCCGAGGATTAATCGCGAGCACGATCTTCTGGACGGCGTCGTTTGATTTAACAATAGAAAATTACCTGCGCCGTTTCAAGCATCGTGAACGCGGATGGAGTAATTTTCCATTAACCAATGTACGCTCCGGCGATTTTGTTATTAAAATTCATCGGGCCGGTAACTTTTGCAACGAGATCGGCCGGCGACTAAATCAAAACCGTCGAATAATTTTTCGGGAGAAAGTCCACGGAGAGCGCGCGTATGACCGCTCCGGGCACCGGGTCGGCGAGTAATAAAATATTAAAACGAAAGTGTCCTGCAAACGCGGCGACGAATGTTAATCAACGGCCGGGAAGATATGCCGGAGAACAGCCGCGACGGTGAAATTCGGAAAACTTTTTTCCACCGTCTTGCGAAAAATTCTTTCCGCGCGTCGGTTGTAATATGTAATTGCGCGAGGAGGAACAGGTCTGTCGGGAGATTTTTACGACGTGGAAAGAGACGTCGCGGAACTAATTTGCAAAAAAAAAAGAAGTTGTTTCGGGGAGAAAATACTCGCGCAGAATGTAGATGCATCGCGGTTTGGCGCGTTCATCGATTACACGGAGATGCTTCTACCCTGAGAAAGCGAGGAAGGGGAGAAAGTTACGGGAAAATCATCGGTTTCCCGTCCGAGCGGCATTACCTCGTCCGTAAACATACAAAGAGGAAGACAAGTTACGAGCTACACCTTGCCGCGAGATGCCGAGCATAATTTACAGCACGGCGGTCGTTCGATTTATGATTGAAATTGCGCCGGAGAGAACATTCGGGAGCTTAAAAGGCGACAATCCTCGACCGGAAGTCGAGTGGACGCGCGGGTCTGGCTACGACGAAACGATTTACCGTTTATCGAGAAACGGAGGAAATTGTTTAATTGGGAAAAAAGTAGAAAAATGAGACTTTCGAAATTGATTAATTACGGAAGTGGTTCGCAAGTAAATAAGTTGAGAAAATGAATGACCAAGGATAATAGAGATTGAAGGACATTTTTCATAGAATAGGGCTTGATGGAACCAAGAGGGAATCAATGGGGAACGATTCCTGTTTGTTAATAAATCGTGTACTCTCGTTTTCTTGGAAAGATAAAAATAATGGAATTTAATAGCCAGTTATGTACATCATCAAAACATATAGTTTTGGCTTCTCACAGCTCCCAGTTGTTTTATTTACACCCACAATCACCCTAGTACCAGTTTCATAACCATTACTACGATATTTAGAAATATCAATGGCACTGAAATAAAAGACCGATTAAAATAACGCAGCAGTGGATAGTATAAATAAAACAAAAACGTAGTTCAACTTACCCCTTGCTACTGTTCTTATGGACCTAACAAGGTTTGTAAGTTGTGCTTTCATGGTGGGTCTCTCCCCAAACCCTTGAACATTCTGCCATGATATCCAGCCAACTGAAAAATTTCAATATTAATTTTATAGCTTTATTGTGTCAGAAGCAAATTATTGGCATGAAGCCAACAATACAAAACAATATAACCTATGGCTACTATAATTCCACTGCCATCACAAAACCGTTTTAAGATAAATTTATTTCTTAACTATGAAAAATTATACAGGAGGCTTTTTAAAGAGATGCACCTTTGGCGAGAAACCTCTCCTCGTTCAAAACGCAAATTGCGTTCAAACAGAGCAAGGTTGCCTCGAAAAGAGTCCACAAGGTGAACGCCATTTTACAATATTGAAGTGAACGTCACTTTAATTGGACGGTAGCTCCATCTGCTCATAGGGAAAAAATACAGTTATCCCTAGACGTTCGAGCAACTTCTAGGAACAGTTAGGTGTTGTAAGGTTGGGTCAGTGGGGAAATCACTAGGACCTACCAAGTTGTGTTAGGCTTTCTATCAATAATAAACAGTACACATATCAGGTTGAGTTAGGTTTTCATCAACAGTGTACAGAATGATGACTATTCTACAGTATTTACATCTTTTTCCTTCTGTTTAATTTAATTTTATGTATTATTATTGTGCAATGTAGTGTATTACTTAGTCAGTAATTATGATATGATGTTAATATACTAATTATCCATTGACTTCTGTACTGCTAAGTGATAAAAAAAAACAATAAAATGGAAACAACAACTTCAGAACCGATGGAAGATAGTCCTGAGAAGATTCAAATCAGCCCCCCTGTGCAAGTAGTGAGAGTACCGGTGAAGCACGCGAATCTTGGAATACGGAGTCATGCCATGTAAGCAAGTAATAGCAGAGAAATTAGATTATTTTAGTTATATTAACAATAATTTATGTTTCAGGGATATGAGTACCATGGTAGAGCTCACTTCCTTTAGTACACTAGGCAAGATACAGCCCTTTTTAGTCACAATAACAACTACTGCAGCGCTGCTAGTAGATTTACATTGTCATTTAACAGACAAAGAAGTCTGTGGCTACCTAGGTGGACATTGGGACATTAATTCACACAGTAACTATAGCCAAGACATTAAACCTTAGTTAAATCAACATTTGGTTGCAAAAAGTTAAAAAATGTTTTTTTCAGATTTGTCCATAACAACTGCCTTTCCATGTCGTTACTCTGGCAAAGACAAATCAGCTGCAGCAGCTGTTGAGTCTGAAATTGCCAGAGCTATGGAATGGAAGAGAGTTACCCTGGTTGGATGGTACCATTCTCACCCCAGGTCCCATGCTTCCCCTTCATTAAGAGATGTCGATTCTCAATTAGACTATCAGATCAAAATGAAGGGGCCCAGTGACAATGGATACACCCCGTGTGTTGGATTAATATGCTGTAGGTATACAGATAATTTTTTTCAAAGTTGGAAGAGATGCAAAACAAATTTTTGGTTTCAGCTCCCTATAATACAGATGGAAGCTGCTATGAGTCCAACTTCAATGTATTCTGGTCTCTACCACCCCCTGAAAATCGACCCCATGAGTACCCAAGACCAATGCTGTTGAGTTACACCCTGTCACAAGAGCATTTTCTTTCTCAGGACACATTGGAAGAAATCGTAAGTATATATAAATTCACGTAAAATACGTACTTCAAATATGATTAAATGATGTACCCCCCTAACATGATGATATATATCTCATTGTAGAGGAGATGTATAGAGTATTATAGAAGCGAAGGGGGCATCGATTTTACTGCCAACTTCAACAACAATACCACCTATCTCGAACGTTTAAGAGTAAGTATATAATAATGATTTTCAATGGCGAGACTGCGGATCTTCGCGCGAATTAACATTTTCCTATATCCTTTTATTGAAACCAGAACGAAGGAAGGACTTCTAAATAAATAAAAAATAAAAAAAAAAAGATCCGCAGGCTATGAATACGATTATCTATACAAAAGCACTGAATCTCGATTTCTGTTCACAGTGTTCGCTCGCGTCCAAATTACCGGGACGAAACCGATCGAACGGTTCCTACTGGGACGTAATCAGAGAAATGATTTGTCCCGGTTCCGAGGACGGAACATCGCCAGAATTCCTTGCTGTGAAATTCCCGTTAGTACCAGTTTCAGAACCGCTAGTTCCTTCAGTTCCGCCGGGGGTTGGGCTCGCCCCCAACAACGCAGCTGTCTTCCTTACTCCCGTGAACTTTAAACCCGATAGTGCCATAATCACTCCCACGTCAAAGCCTTTTGTAATGCAGCCATCCACATCTAGAGATAGTATTAAAAAAGACAATATTCTAGCTACAGATTCTGCGTCGATCACGCAAATAAAGGATGGTAACGCGACGTCTTCGAAACAGCACATATCGCCCACAGAAGTGATGCCGAGCTTTCAGTCCGGGGAGCTAACAGTTTCGGTAAAAAATACTAAATGCGATTACGATTATCCGACGTCCGATTTCGCGAAATTGCCGAATCCACTTGGTGCGGATAACGGTGTGAATAAATCGCGATTAACGGCGACGCCTGATTTTCCCTTGGCTGACATAACGCAGCAGATCTCCAAGTTCTCGGACTTGTCGAAGCTAGCTAACTTTTCCACTGCGGACCTAGCGAAGCTCTCAGGATTTTCTATCGCGGATTTCACGAGGACATCGTCCCCATCTCCATCCACTTACATACGAAACATTGCCAATTTGTTCGGTCCACTTGGTAAAATATCCCCTGCAAGGGACATCGAAGGCAACGAACGCAAAGCGACTGATTTCGCGATGGTGGACTCCATCCAGTCGCCGTTTAAGGCGACTTCCGGTTCCTCCGAGTCTTGCAGGAACTTTCCCGAAGATTACTCGACCGATCGGAAAAAGATGGACTTGCAGAACGACAATTCAAAGCTGAATAGATCTAATGAGTATCAGGGAACCGAAGATCTGTCAATTTCCAGTGTTAAGTCCGATTTTGGGGGTATGCTGGACATGACAACGTTGCACAAGAAGCAACAGTCCGGCGACATGGGTGATTCGTTGAACTTATGCAAGGACCGCCAGTAAATTCGTCATTCTAATCAGTATTTTGCAATTGTGATTATTTCTGTATGTTTGTATGTTCTATTGTACGTCTGAAATTAACTAGCTGTATGTATATAAACGTAAGGAATTCGGAAGCTTACGTTTACAAACCCGTGCAACGTTTCTACGCGAATTAAGTTATTCTTTTGTAACTCTGAAAGAGTTCAAGCTGATCATTTTGACGCATATACCGTACTTAATAAAGAGACATTTTTTAATTAACCCGATCCGCCTTTGTTTATTTTCTAAACGAAACTATTTTATCATTGTAGATGTGTGTATATATACAACTACAATAGGGATATCATTTTGTGGCAGACTTACTCAGTTGCATCATTGTATCTCATAGTTGCTAAGCATAAGGATCGTAGTGCCTACACCTGTAGTGATAGGCTAGTTGCTGTTCGATAGAAAATTCCTTCGAAATATTATTTCCGTTGTCGAAAAACGAAACGAATTGCTGTGGATTTATGTCGACAATTTCTAAAAACGTTAGTGGATGCTGAAAACAAAATCGAACAGTGTAACAGTTAGGTTAACTGAGCACGGATCATGCCGATTTCTGAATCTCATGGTTGATTTAAATGCATTCGTGTTTTCGCAAGAATTAAAATGTTTCGGCCGGCAAGAAGCCTCTTATCGACTTTAAATCGCGTCAAAGAATATCGCGCAGTGCATACTAGTTTACAAACTTTACAAGACATTATAGAATATGAATGTAAGTATTGCACACAGTGATGTTATGTGATATATTTGATATTTCATTAATTTTTATACGTGCGTTGCTTCAAATTACAGCCGTTATTACCGATGAATATAAAAGAGGTCCTGCTGAGGGTAGATCCCTTTATTTGGATGCTCAAGCAACTACCCCAATGGTATGTAAACAATAAAATTTAGCGACTTTTAAAAATGGAAATTTAACACATCCCATAATTTATTTATAGGATCCACGTGTATTGGATAAAATGATGCCCTATTTGACCGCATATTATGGAAATCCTCATTCTAGGACACATATGTATGGGTGGGAAAGTGAAGCAGCAACAGAGCTTGCACGTAGTGTTAGTTTCATTACCCTTCTGTGTTACACAATTGTTGCATGTTGTGACTATTTAATATAATATTTCATAATAATTTTATAATATTTCTATTATATCAACAGCAAGTAGCAGATATAATAGGTGCTGATAAAAAGGAAATAATATTCACATCAGGGGCAACAGAATGCAACAACATAGCTGTAAAGGGGGTTGCAAAGTTCTACAAAGCTAAAAAGAATCATATTGTGACAACCCAGACAGTATGTTATATAAATTCAAATAATAATTATATTCTATGTGTTTATATAATCATAAAATTAATTTACATATACAGGAGCACAAATGTGTACTAGATTCCTGTAGAGCTTTGCAGGCAGAAGGGTTCAAAGTAACTTATCTACCAGTAAAGGCTAATGGTCTTATTGACATTAAGGAACTAGAAGCAGCAATTACACGTGAGACCTCTCTAGTCTCTATAATGATGGTAAATAATGAGATTGGTGTGAAGCAACCAATTGCAGAGATTGGTGCTATTTGTAGGTAAGCTGAAGCATGATGCACTAAATTTTCCAAATTACCATGAATTTTTATATACAGTGATTCGATTTTACAGAAAGAAAAAAGTATTTTTTCATACAGACGCCGCTCAAGCGATCGGGAAAATTCCGATCGATGTTAATACTATGAATATCGATCTAATGTCTATAAGTGGACATAAAATATATGGTCCTAAAGGTACTATCTACCCTTATTTAATTCAACTACATAATACTACAATATCAAATATATAATACTACTTATATTTTTTTAATTCAAAGGAGTTGGAGCTCTGTATGTGAGAAGAAGACCAAGAGTTCGTGTGGAACCCATTCAAAGTGGGGGTGGTCAAGAAAGAGGAATGCGGAGCGGTACCGTTCCTGCACCCTTAGCTGTAGGCTTGGGTGCAGCTTGTGAATTAGCGCAGACGGAAATGGAGGTACATTTAATTCAATAGGCATCAGATTCGGTATAGTTTGTTGGATTCGACGTTCTCTGTATTTTTCAGTACGATCACAAATATATCTCAATGCTCTCAAACCACTTAATTAAAAAAATAATGTCGAATTTGCCACACGTTATACGTAACGGGGACGAGAACGAGTGGTACCCTGGCTGCGTCAATCTATCCTTTGCCTATGTGGAAGGTGAATCCCTCTTAATGGCACTGAAGGACGTGGCCTTGAGCAGTGGTTCTGCTTGTACTAGCGCTAGTTTGGAGCCCAGTTATGTACTTAGAGCAATAGGAGCATCGGAAGATCTGGCACATTCCAGTATAAGGTAGGTTACATTTACCTTATATTACTAATTAATATCTACAGCCTTTTACTCTCTACAATCATGCTTCTGCGTTTACTATAATAGCGTGTAGTACTTCCTCTGTATAGTAGCTTTATAGTAGCTCCCACTCAACTTTTAAGAGTGGGTGGTAAGGAGGAAATACTGTGTAGTTTTCTGTAGCAGTGCAGCTAATTGTTTAAATTTATGCAGATTCGGTATTGGCCGTTTTACGACGATGGAAGAGATCGAGTTCACCGCTGAGAATACAATTCGGCATGTTAAAAGACTTCGGGGAATGAGGTACGGCTGGCTAAGTTACGATATAAATATTTATTGAAAGCAGGATTATCTTATTTCATTCGTGTATATTTGGCCGTGAATGGTAAATGGTACGATTATAGTAAACGGAGGGAACAAATTCAATGTTGGACGTTTCTGATGATTCGTTATCGAATATTCGTGTTATACATCAAGCGCTGTACTTAAACCGGTAATTAATGTTTTTCTTTGCAGTCCATTATGGGAAATGGTTGAAGAGGGAATCGATCTGAAAACGATCAAGTGGACTCAGCACTAGCGGCTTTTGTTCGTTCATTTTACCTGGACTATCTAATGGCAACGATAGTGTGGATTAAGTGTACAATTATGCAGACCTTATGTCGCAGAAATAGAGCGCGCCTAGTTAAGTAAAATACCTCTGAATGTGTAATAAATTTTTATTTGAAATCCATTACCTGAGGAAAGTCTAGAGTTTCTCGTAAATATGTATAAATTTTCGTGTTGATGATATTCCCTCTCTGTCCTCACTCTCATGATACTTTCCCTCATAGAAAAGTGATTCTTAATCATTATTTGATAGAAAAAAGATACCCTTACTACAACACACTCTATTGCCGTGTGTGTTGAGCTTGTCAAGTTATAAAAACGTCGTTGTCAAACATCTTTCAATGCTTACTGCTTAACATAAGCAAGAAGGATCACCAGCTTCATCCATGTAGGAGATCTTAAATCTGTCTTTGTCCATTTCGTGTAATTCCATACGCGATCTGTTCGCCTCAACCAAATGTTGGGCTATGTCCTCAAACATTTCATGTATCCCTTCCCCAGTTTTACATGATGTTTTATATATACCCGATATCAAGTTGTGACATTGCTCGCTATAAGAAACAGTGCATTACTGGTTGCTGTGAAACATTTTATGTTAACCAGCGTATTCGCTAGAATTACCAGAATTGCTCCATTTCTGCGTCTGTAACTTGCGGTGCCACGCTTTCCAGATCGCTTTTATTCCCACAAAGAAATATTTTTGCATTCTCAGCATATGTTACAATATCCAACAGATGCTGAGATAAAAGGTGAAAAGATGTGGAGTTGTCTAATGCGAACACTAATATAGCAGCCTCTGCAAATTTGTAGTAGCTAGATGTTACGGATGCAACCCTTTCCATACCACCCGTATCCCATAATTGCAACTGAAATATTAAATGATTATTACTAAGAAAATGGATAAGGTTCTCATTGCGTGTCTTCCACCTACAAATGGTTTATATATGTGTAGGAATACCAGCCATTAATGTAACTTCAAGGTCTGTAAACATATATATGTCTACATGGATACGTTACCCGTATTCGTCTGTCTTCGACGAGGTATTCTTTGTCAATATTATCGAGCCCAAGAGTAGATTTTCGATCGCTGCTCGCGACAAAAGTATTATTCGCAAATCGCCTAAATATAGACGTTTTCCCGACACCATATTCCCCGCACAGAATGACTTTCTGCTCGGTTACTTTAACTGTAGCCATGATTGGCTTATATCACTTCGCCGGTTGTGTAGAGATACAAACGCAACATCAGTAACAATAATTAATCGTGCTTGCATACATAATTAATGTATTTAGCAGCCGTTTGATTTTACATTGTCACAGATACGGGCACGATGACAGTCGTGAAAATAGAAATATTACACCAGCAACGGATTGTAAAACGTTATTACATACCATAGAACACCTATTCACATCGATAAAGCAAGACACCCTCGTTTACCCTAGGTGTATTATTTATAATAAAAATACGCAAATAAATGTGTCTCACCACCGCTGCACATCCGACCGCAATCCATCCGCCGAAGCACTGTGCATTTTTAGCAATATTTTTCCCATGATCCCTTTGATCTATTGAACTTAACGAAAATTTGAAATTTTTCGAATTCAATTCGGATTTTTTAAGTTTTCTGCAAGTCTAATGAATCGTCGAACACTTAAAAAATTCTAAATAATCAAGCCCGTTGATATATGACCATTTCTAAGAGAAACTAACGACTTAAATTTGAAAAACGTGCTCGATTGATCCACCTTCCTATAAGACAAATTTGAAATGGCCCACTCGGTGGCGCCACCTATAACCTCCACAATCGGAGTCTCCGTACGATGTTTGTACTGTACTTAGTCTTCAGCTGTTTAGATTTCTCGTTTGACGTTCGTTATTTCAATGTTGGTGCGTATTGTGAACAGAGCCATTTCTGAGTCGTTTTTGTCGCCGAAGAAATAACGAAATCCCGTCATGGTATTGAACGACGTGGATACATTTTGTCGCGAGCTAGAGAAAGCCGAATTGGAGGTATGTCCTTCGAGCAGTCGTTCGTATAGGTTATGCCGACATTCGCGATTGCTTTCCTCTTTTTTTTAAATGACCAATTGATAACTGAAGACTCGATTACTTACATATTTATTTTACAGGCACCCAGTGGAATTACTACGGCGAGGACGTACGCTCAATTGTTAGCAGTATACCTTTACCAGAACGATTTGTAAGTTACGCACGTTTAACCTATTTTATTTTTTCCTACGCTGTGCATGCATCACCAAATAATCTAAAAATAATCAATACACGATTACGAAATCGCGATATCCTTTCTTTATACTATTTTAGCGAGAAAATACCAGAAAAAACTATTTGTGTATATGGTGCCGGCGCCATCTGTAACTCCGTAACCGATGTTCCAGAAATTGATTAATATTATTCGGTAATGATAAATATTTAGATATTTCGTACGCAGATTAATCGTTACATAATTCAATATATATTACTATAGTCAATGCAACTTAAAAACGATTCGATGTGCCGTTTTCCGAGCGCGGAACAAATGGCGCGAAATTTGAATCGACTCCCGTTCGTCGCACGTTTCTAATAATCGATTTAATGAATTAGATCGCGGGTCACTCTCGTTCCTGATGGCTAAACTGATTTTCCACTCTAGATCCTCTATCTGTTACGTCAGACCGATGATTTACAGTTATTTTGCACGCTGCTTTTTTATCGCGTTTACGTATAACCTGTACACCACCACGTGATTTATTGCAAGCTCCACCGGTCACGCCATTATATTTATTACGCGGCACATGTTTTATAGTTCTATTTATTGTTAATTAACGGCGACGCTATACATCCGGTTTTATGGATATAACGTTCCTTGTTTGTCCCGTTGTTGCTGCTTCCGCGATGGGATCCGTTCTGGTGATCTACACCCTCGGATCGATCGTTCCTGTTCTTTCCATCGACCCTTCGTAATAACTTGCCTCTACAGATCCTTCGTCGTAACTTTCTTCCTATAGACTATAGACTCTTCGTCCTAACTCCTTTTGGCCTCGCTTCCGAAGTAGAGGGCACTTTATCTGATCGAAAAATCCATTGCTACCGGTAGATGCAACGCTAAGTACCTATGGAAGCGGATACCTGCCGATGTGAAAACCGAGAACATAGAACTGAAGCAGATTTGGATCGTGGGCCAGTGCATGTGGCAACGGGATTGGGCCGCTGTTCACGCTGCCCTAAACGCCGAATGGAGCACAGACGTTGGGAACATTATGAACGCACTCAAAGGTACAACCCCTAGAAGCTAAGGCGACCACCGGTCCCCAAATCCCGCGGTTTAGTCCCTAAATTTACCAGCTAATGGGCTGATTATGATACTAGATAAGGATACCACAAGGATACTAAATGAAAATACTTATTGTAAAATTCTTATTGATTTCAAGTATATATATTTTGTACATGTTGCGATTCGATTCTACATTTAGAAGATACGTGAATTCAATTTCGGAGGAGTGACGAAGAGTTGGACTTTGCGTACACGCGAATTAACAAAAGATAAGGAAGTACATTTTTGATCATCAATGGCTTTTTTTCCGCTCTAATCAAGTTTATGCGATTTTTTGCTACGTTCGAAGAGGATTTAAATTACTGGACGAATTGCTTTGATTTCTGTTGCGGTCAACGCGTTGATAACGGTATCTAATGCGACCGGATTAGTTGTCGAAGAGTCCGAGGAAGCTCTCGAAGACAGGGTCCGGCCGGTGCCGGCGTGGATCTTCGAGGGTCGAATCGCATGTTCATCGATCGGTGTACATTTTCAGATAACGTTCGTGAGAGGGCGGTAAATTTAGTGTCCAAGGCGTACTCGTCGTTGGGCTTGAATGTGTTCGCGACGATGACTGGCCTGGCAGAAGAGGAGGCGCGGCGGGCGGCTGTCGAAAAAGGTTGGACCATCGATGGAACGATGGTGCAGCCGCGTAAGATTGAGACTGAAGAGTGCATCCTCGACAACGAGGACCTTACCGAAGACCAGCTGCGCAAGCTCACGCAATTCGTCTCCTTCTTGGAGAACTGAACGAGCCCCGGTGCCCCGCGGGCCCCGTCGATGACGAAGCACACCCATCACGAAGACTCGATCCGACAGTACTTTAAACTTAGTTTTACCTCGTAATCGTATTATATAAAGGAGGAAGTGTGCCTCAAAGGAAGCACCTGTGTCCCTACCCTAAGTATACCTCTCGGTCTACCTACGCGTTCTGCCCGTTCGATCGGAAGAATCATTCTCGATGAAGCAAGCGCGGAGTCAACAACTCGATTAATCAATAATCGACTCGCCGCGTGCGAGAGAAGGCGGACTGGCATTTTCTAGAAGGGACACCTTCCACAGGAGGGAAATCCATCATCGACAGAGGTTACGAGATTCTAACGACGTGTATTTGATTCATCGGTGTTCATCACGCAGCATCAACCCGCTGGAACGAATTATTCTATTGTACAAAAATAATAATTATGGACGCGATGGCTACCGTCCTAACACAATCACCGGAAATCTTTCTTTCAACCGACACCGTTCAGCCCCCCAACCTCCCCACTTATCACTCGGATCCCGTCGATCACACCGTTCCAAAAGCAACCACTCGGCTCGCGCTCGAAGCCGCGAAATTACCGATCCGATTGCGCAATCGTCAGCGCCGAGAGATAAAGTCGCGGTAGCTACGGGGAAACGGGTGATCTCGAAACGAGTGGCTTCGATCGCGCGTGAAAGCAACCGGGCGCCTTGTGTGTATCTCTCTCGGGCAAGCGGGCCTGAAAAAATCGGCGCGAGGAGATTCTGCCTTGAGCATTGCGTCACGCAAATCGAATCCTCGCGGGTCAGAAAAATCGCGGACAGCCAGGTATGCCCCGAGCAGCAGCCCCGGTGTGTTCGCTCTCTGCAGCCCGTGTCGGCGGTGGTCCCCGCCGACATGCCTGCTGCCGAGTAATTCTCTATGAAATCGATTCTGACCGTCCCGCATTGTAAACGCTGAATATGCACAATCGCGGCCCCGATTGTGTAACGCCTAGATATTCTCAAAGAAATCGTTTCCACCGGTCGGCAGGTAGCCGGTGTGCACCCACCGTCGTTGGTGTCGGTTGCTCTTTTTTGGCTCCACTACACTCTAGAAAGTTGTTGCACCGGTACCACCAATCCTACACGCTACCCGCGTTTCATATTTTACGTGTGTAACGACGCGATCGCCGTTTCCGTGTAAATCCCCGTCGATCTTAAAACCGATCTCTCATTTTCGCCAGGATTTAGGGGTCCTAGATAGACCCACGAAATTTTTATGAAACCGAAGAGACCCTTCGAACGATTCGTTCGAAAATAAACGGCGCACGGCGGAAATATCGGCAACGATCGGATACCGGAACATTCGTCAATGCACCGTCGCGGAAACGTGGGAATGAATGAAAAGAAAAGCCTCGGACGTAACTGGAAGGCGTTCCCACGCGTTCGTGCCACATCAAAGCGCCTATCCTATCCTGACCGGCTGCTTTATATCAGGAACGTGCGATCGGCGCAATAATCGGTATCGAAAAAGGCGTCCGGTCAGCGGGGGGTTGCAAAGTGGGTAGAATGTAGCCTAGGATAAGGATGACGGTGCCGGGCTTCGTGGTACGTGCTAGAGGCTCGTTGCCACGGTGTGCTCTCTGTTCACTGTGCCTTTGAATAATGCAGATTCATCGTCGTTCCAACGAGCGATGATTGCATCGCGATATCACGCCGTTTCTTCTTCTTCTTCTCGATCCTTTTTTTCCCCTCGACTCTTCCTCTCTCTCTCTTTCGCTCTTCTTCGACCCGTCGTTGCCCCAATAGGCGGAAAGCACGATCGTCGAGGTAGAGGGTGAACCACTCCGAGGAGTACCATCACGAATCGCTCAGAATCTTCCCCGTTCAATGGTACAACAGGGGGATATCTCGTTAGCAGGTGTCATCGGTGCTTGTCCGGGCTCTCCTAGGATTGACTTGCAACTAGTGGCCCCTCGCGATTATTTGCTCGGAGATGTTAATGGAGCGTTATTCAACCTCGCTAATTGATTCTAAATCGGGTATATTGAATGAGGAAGCTAAGAATGAACTTTAATAGTATTCGCTCGAAGAGCTAGAGGCTCTTTGATCCGGCGATTGTGGCAAAGGCGGTGTCGAGGCTGTTGAAGACATTAACCCTTCGAGGTCTTACGTCGTGTCAGACACGACGTCGACTTTTACGCAAATTACTCACCTTCCCGATTTGTATTATATTCATCGCTGGTGTCACAATTACCGCGATGGTTACGCGACGGCGTGGCGAATTCTGAAGTTAATGAAACATAATTCAACCGTTGGCCCGAAGAATAAAAGACTCGGCGGTCGAAGCTCTAACAGCGTCTCTCCGACAATCTCGAACATCGTCTTCGCAGATGACAACGGTTCTGAGGCCTGAAAGAACAAAGCCAAATAGTCATTTTCGTTGGGCCTAGCTCACAATTGGCAGTTCTTGGATCCGAAATGTATCCGACCAATTCCGTGTCGAAATTCGGCACTGGTATTCGCATTCCCGTCGAGATGAATCCTCTCGTCAGCTTTCATCGCGAGTGGAATTGGAAACGCGTTTTCAGGTAACTCGGTGGCTCTAGAGAGGTAGGGTACCGCCGGGTATTACTAAAGACGAGTACTAGTTTACAACATAAAACGCGAAGGTGAGAGGCAAGAGGAAAGAGCCGGGTTACCAGTTACCTTAGCTGACCTCCCCTCGTAAGAGTACGCGCCGGTGACTCGCGTCTTCTTTCCCGAGAGCGTTAGCTGCGCCGCGGCCTGTTGCGGTGACCTTTGCACGTCGCGGAAAACGCCGATGCTCCGTGAGGAGCCGAGCGAGTGGCACGAATTGAACGCGGCTGGTCGATTTCGAAAGTCTCTCCTCTCCGCGGCGGAAGACGCCGAGGGGTGAGACGCCGGGGACGAGGAGGAGGAGGATGATGATGATGATAATGATGAAGAACAACTGGAAGGCCGATGGGGAACACGTTCCCCTTCGTTTAGCCGTGTACGAAGGAGGCGTCGCTTGTACCGCGAGTACCCTTCGACGGAAACAAGGGTTGTCGAGTCACAAATCATGCCCGAACGATTCCTCTCGCCGAGCGAGGCGGAAAATATGGCGGCCCGGCGGGGTAGTCATGCGTCACGCTCGCGAATATTTAACATGTTTTTCACCTGGAACACGATTACAGGAACGTGACGGACAGGTGTCTCGTTACCAGTTTAGCGTCGACAAATAGCCGGGAAAGGGGACGCTCCGTGCCGATATTAGCGAAACGATCGTAAATTGGGAGCTGGTGAATTATTAAGCGGAAATTACCCGAGGCCGGGCTACACGATTTCGGCGACCGTTTCGTGGGTAACATCGAAATCAGCAGCTGCGACAATATTTCACCGCGCTGAATCATCCAGGATTGCGCAACAGATCCACCCAGCGCGCGAGACCGCGATTTCAACGATCCGCTGGATTCTCGCCGCGGTTCATTCGATTTCCTGCTCGTCTTTTAATCTCTCTTAGAAGTCTCGATTGTTCTTCCCTCCACCGGTCGCGGGCGCAAAAAGCAGCGCGAAAAACGCGGGATTAGCCTAGCTCGAATTTAAAAACCGTTCGAACAGACAGACTGGAACAATGAGCTCGCCGGGCCAGTCTCTGCGGGGGTTGTACCGTTAAGAGAATCACGACGTGTCTGCGCCGCGCGGTCCGAGCAGATGGAGAGAACCTCGTGGAAAAGAGAGGGAAAAGGCACAATTGAATGTTGGCGGACCCGTGGGCGGGACGCGGTTCGATTGTTTCTTTATCGCGATCATCCTCGCTCCTTCTTCTGCGACGGCAACGGCGATCTCACCACCGAACCGCACAATCATTCGTCTGCTCGCGCCGCGATTTCTATATCGTCGTCCTGTATCATTGTCCTTGTTGCGTCGCGCGACAAGACCCCGTCCCCGAAGCGTCGCCTCGTGTCGGTTCGCGCTGCACCGTGCGCCGCGCGGCATAGTGCAGCGCGCGGTGCAGGCCCGAGCGTTAGGTGGGTGCGCTCAGAATGCACCTTCTCCGCGGCATTCCACGCGGAAAGAAAACCGATCGTTACCTTTGCACAATTGCATCTTGCGGAACGTAACGGTGATCGGCCGGGGGATCATCGATTCGTCTCGATCCAGACACCCCCGCAAATCTTTCAGCCGCGCTGGCATTTGCACCATCGGCCCCGTGAGAACCGAAATTTTGAGGACCTACTTCGACAGGTGCTCCGCAGGTGTGCCCTTCGACGAGGATGGATATTTTTTTAGATATATTTAGTTAATATCGGCCTCGTGGGCCAGATATCGATTCGGTTTACTTATTTTCTGCGTAGCCATTCGTCCTTCCACCCTAATCGACTCCAAGCTAACTTATCCTAATTTATTTTGCCTAGCTTCCATTGCACATTTTTCGTTCCTTTTTTTTATCTACATTTTATCTACATTTTTAACCTATTTTAGAACTTTCTCTTCCCCTTTACCCTGGAATACTCTTTTTGCACTCGAATCTGTTTTTTATTCCTTAGCAATCTTCCAACTGATATTTCAACGATCCTCTATCTCTTTCACATAAAATGCTCAAACTTCTCTGCAAGTTTTAAAAGTAATAGTAACAAGATAATCTTTCGAGGATTAAGCACATTGTAGATCAATGATTTAGTTTGTACCAAGATAGTCTAGTCGCTTCGCTTAACCCCTTTCACTAGAACAACGAGTCGGACTCATGACGAACGTTTCATACAATAATCTGGTAAATATGAATATTATTCATTCCTTCGAAATCGAAACGAGATTTACGAAAGTAAGTCGATGCATATGAGATACACAAGTAATCTCGTTCTAATAAGACCGGTTCAAGTACGGCCATTAATTAAGTAAAGTAACGAGTTTACTAGAAACCAGTTTAGCACCTTTTGTAATTTTAGCTGATCAACAAAAAATGTCTAAAGATAGAATTTCTCCGATACAATAGTACAATTGATCCACCGGACCCGTTTGACAGACTTTTTTTAAATAAAAAATGGAGTAAATCCCAGTGTCCATACATAATAAATTATTAAATTGAACATTGTACTAAATTACTAGCCGTGTCCGAATCAGCCATCAAGGAAATTATGACTCGTTTTAAGTTCGAATAAAATTCTGTTCTCTTCTCTATTTAGTTCGTACAATAAATTCAAATTATCTCTCTCTTCTGTGTGTGTGTGTGAGAAATCATTGCAATCGAAAAAGTTCTAGTAACTGTAACCAAGAACACAATAGAATTTAGAACGAATGCGAACCAATGAACCCGGCTGTGAAAGAAATCACAGCGCAAGGGGTTAATTGTGTCGAAACTACGAGGGCATTCGGCCTATCGCAGCGACGCGTTGCACCCTCGAAGAACGCAAATAAGTTCGACAAACGATAGCCTGTTTGCCCGATTGTAAGGCGTCCGACTTTCGCAGCCGGTTCCTTTGTCTGA